ATGATTGTTTTAGAATTAAAAATGACGAATATCGCTTATTTCTGGATGTTACGCGTTAACATCAATGGAAAGAATTTTCCTTTACTTTCATTTAAACTTTATAAATAACTATACGACTGTATAAATTGCTATACAACTATAAGTAGATATAAATAAACGTAAAATTCTTATACTTTTTAATTAATTTTCAGTGCGTTATATATGAACATTGTGTCTGTATAAAGTTATCACAGTATAAGAGAAATTTTGCATGTGTAATAACAAAAATAAAAACAGCTGAAAAATTATATTTTCTAATTTTTCTTAAACCTAAATAAAAGAAAGTTTGTGTATACTATGATACACACCTATATCCGAACGCATGATAATTACTTCTATGAATTTCAAATCATATTTAATATCACTTTCAACAAAAATCAGTTTGTATAATATGTAATAAATTATGTTGAATGCTCACAATATTAGTGTTAATAAAAAATATTTATTGGCAGACTAATACCAGATCAAGCTTCTATTTTTTCATGAGGCATTAAAAATTCTACAGAGAATTCTCAAACTTCTTTCCACAAGCAAACATTACTAATTATATAGGCCAAGTTACATTACGTGCTACACATTGGCAAAATTCATATAAATGTTTCATACTTTATTACAAACTAAAATTGTCAATTTAATATGTTTACAACTCATAAAAATACCTTATATTTATAAAAATTATTTGGAATATACATACAAACAAATAAAAATCAAATTTTATATAATAGGAAAGAAATTTAAGATTATAGTCTCATACAAGAAATGAATCCTCAAGAAATGCTTAATGCATTTCTTTTTCAGTAAACGTATACAGCCATAGAAGATGAAGTGTATAGCTGTAAAGAAACATTTATGAAAGAGTTATACTTTACAAGATTTAAATAAGTTATCCAAATTTTTTTTATAAATAATGTTAGAATTATAGAATGTAGATCGAATTGTAGGTATGCTCTAACGTTGTAGCTGCATGTATAAAATTGTGATATGCGAATATTAATGAATAACGATGTAATGGGATGCACGCAATCACCATTTAATACAGTCGATATTATAAATCTATCTATAAACTATTGCTTCTTACTTCGAAATGACACGAATTTCTTAACAACTTTGTTAACGTCATTGCATCGATGCACATGTATACATCACAATGTTCTCGTGAATATCACGGATAAAATATATGATGTCAACGTACGTATTACGAATGAATCAGTTTCCTTCTTTGTAAGGTCGACAATATTAAACACGCATCCATCTGATCTTACAATGTTCTTCACTGCCTACTTTAATCGACAACGCTCAAAAACCTTTTAATAATTTCACAGGAATAAAGGTATCATATTTTGCGGACATTAAACTATAATATACAATAGACGCATTTATGCTTCATCTCCTTCCTTTTTTTCCAATGACTATTAACAATTACCATTATATAGTGTAAAAAGTATATTAAATGGTACAATTAAGTCCGACGGAAAAGACATATCTCGTAATTTATTCTCATCAGAATTTCTCCAAAATATACTGTATACAATATTTTACTTTAAGTATAAATATATACAGTTTTGTTATGAAAGCGCACTAGGTATCATTTAGTTACTCGGACATGAAATTGAGCAGTGCGCAACGTTCTACCATTTATATGTTTCAGAAGATGCACTACCTTCTTTAGCATAGTTTTTACTTTATTTTTTCTTTTTCTTTTTTTTTTGTTG